AATTCAACCATCCAACCCACATTTAATTTTTATTACAAATTTGGTTCCAAAGTATTTAATGACACTTGTCAAAACCAAATGAGTGCACCTTTTAGAATGCTAAAAAAAATTCTCTTGCAATAATCTAGTGGGAGGAGCACGAGAGCACTCTCAGTTTCTAATAGGTCTACCCCTACATATTACTATAACAACCCGTTCAACGTTAATAGAAATTGGAATTTGTGAATTCATTATAAACCTTAAATTTTCAATTATTTCCATCATTATTATAAGTTGAATGAGAGTTATTGAGTTGGTTTATTGCTTTGAGTTTTGGAGTGTTACAAATGGTAATAGAGTCGATCATTATACTATCAAGATGATAGGAAAAACCTCATCGAGTATGATGAGCTCCTAAAAAGGGTGTTTATAACATCTTAGGCAAATCTCAAGAGTTTAAGTAAAGTTTGTGACCACCGTTTTCACAAGGATAAAAATGAGATTTGTAAGCTTCTTACAAATCCTAAGTCGAGGACCATCAATACATTCTAATTTAATCTTTAAGTTGATTTAGGGGCCTTTTATCAAATGTTTACTGAGAGTCGTCATCCTCACCTTATCGGGTAAGATTCTCAATCATCAAAATAGCATAATAAGTAATAATCTTAACCGGGTAAGATTGTTAATTCTTACCATGTCTCTTACGAGTAAAATTTTTTGTTCTTATCATGCTTATCCAATAAGCTAAATGATATGATAAATATTTATCCGGTTAACGTTTGGTAAACAATATCTTAGGGGTTGTTTACCACATGTTTACTTGGTAAATGCTTATCCGATCACTTTCGTTTTTTATGAACAAAAATTTTACTCAGTGAGAGTATTAACTCTTACGGGTTATTTTTTTTCAAAGACTTTCATGGGATCTTCTATATATAGAGAGAGGGGTGAGTTATTATGCAACTCTTTACATTTGTACAACCAATACAACTCAATCTCAATCATTCATTTAATTTGATGAATATGTGATTTCATAAAAGTTTTGATTGTTTTCTAATATAAAGTATTTATTATAATTAATGAACTCTAGTCATTTTTCATAAATATTCAAATCATAATAAATGAACTATCATTATTTTCATAAATATTTCAATTGATTGGGTTGTATTGATCGTATAAATAAACATGATTGCATTTAATATATATATAATACATGGTTTGAAAGACAAAAAAAAAAATAAAACAAGATGAGAACAGTTGTCCTTCTAGAAGTAGGGCTAGTCGAAAATGACTGAAATAATGAAGAAGTCATATGTAAGATGAAGAGACAATTGTCATGGTCTGAGTTAGGCCAGATTTCTTTTAAAATGTGTCCTTATTATATTTTACATAAATAAAAAATTCACTTGTGCTTCATTTTCCATAAACATCCAACAAACCACCTCCAACACACTCAGATTATTTAATTCCCCTGATGGCTTACCATTTTCCAATATAAAACTATCACCTACACAAAGATTCTTTGGCCTTTGGCATTGTGCTAATCAAACGCATTTTTGCACATGACTCCTATTCAATTATTAATTTCCACTGTTTTTACATCTATGTGTTTAATTTATTTCATAATAATTTGTACATGTAACAAAGAATTAGATTTTATCACCAAAAAAGAAGCTACAAATCTTAACGACTTATTGGTACCTAAAATATGGTACCATTCCTGATTATGTTTATTATAACTGAATTTTAAATATTGTACATGACTTAAATTTGGAGTACATTAAAGCCAAAAATATGTGAACCTAAAAAGACTACAAAAATAAAGAAGAAATCATTTATGGGTTGGGGGCCAAAAAGAAAATTACGGAGACATGTCACTTTTACCCTTTTTACTTTTTATCTTTATAAATCAAACAACTGGACACCTTTACACAACCCACCAACTTTCAACTTCTCATAATTTCTGCTTTCACGTTCTTTTTTCCCCCTCTTTAGACGTTATTTATATACGTAAAATTGAGTTTTGATGAAAATACGAGTTAAACTAAGAAAAATAAGAAACGATCTTCACCTTTAGATGCATATTAGAATGAGATGTATTGAGTGAGATGCACCAAGATAAACCGGATCAATCCTCGTATCAGGCATGATTTATGAGTGGATTTGAGATTAAAGGTGATCAAAGGTTTATATTCATTTTTACGGTTCTCACTTTAACTCTCATTCTCGCACGATCATTCACTTATATATATATTAGAAGGGTACTCGTGCAATGCATCGAGACACATTTCCATTTCAATGTTCCGTTTTATTTTTTATCCATGTCGATATAATACTATTTTATGTGGTTTTGAGAAAATGATAATGTTTTTGTTTTTGAAAAAAATATAAATTTAAAAATATCATATAAAAATTTGCAAAAAATATATCAATATGAGTATCAAATTAACTATTTAAAAGTTCTTGTTTGTGTATTTATTTAATTCAAAATTTTTATTATAATTTAATTTAACGTAACGAAGTAACTTAATTTAGGTTTAATAATATTTTTTTTATAACGATAATAATTAAGTATTCTGTTAGAACTCAATAATTATCTTAATTATATTTTAGATTTTTTATATTTTAAAATAAGATGTTTATCCTCTATTTGATTATGTTTATCTACAATTAGTTACACGAATTCAAACATAAAACTTTAATAAATTGTACTTATGCACAATTTACTTGTAATATTAAATTTTAAGTAAAATGCATCAATAAACAGTAATTCATGCATAAAAAATGGTTTTAAGAGTTTTTGTCAAATGTTTTATAATATAGTATAAATATGTGTGTTGATTATTTTTCAACTTATTTCATTTCTACAACCAATGTAACCCTATCTTAACCATGAATTAGTTCATCTACTATTAGCATTGAATGGTGCGGAAAAGATAGTTACAAATTATCAATTAAAAAAACTGAAAAAATAAAATAAAATAAATGATTTAGATCAAAGTTATATTGATTGTACAAATAGAATAGGTTGTATTTAAAACATACTCTCTTCTCTCTCTCTCTCTCTCTCTAGGGAGAGAAAAGATCAAACGAGAAAGTGATCAATTTTTCAGAATGCAAAAAATTTCAAAATCACATGTGATAGATGTACAAAAAGATGCAAGTAGCTTGATCAACACGACCAAGGGTTGGCGGGATGATTGAAACTTTAACAAATTCATATATGTGAAAGTGGCTAAATATATGTAAAGTTCATGAAAATGACTTAATAGTGGTGTGGTCATGAGGGGTTAGGTGTGGAGGCGTAACAATGACAATAGTAGCATGGTCGTGATGAGGATATGAATTCATTGATTTATATAATTCAATGGAATTTAAAGAAAAAATCCATCTATTTTACGAAATAAACCAATCAAAAAAATTAAAATTTAATTAAACAAATTAATCATTCTAATTCCATCAAATTTCTTTAAATTTCAGGAACCAATCACCCTTAAAACCCCAACATGCAATGTTTGGCTTATTTTTTCTTTTAAAAAAAACAAAAAGGAAAATTTTGTAATTTATAAATCTAGAAACATGGGGTTTTGTAATTTAATAAATTTTTTCATCACATGGTAATTTATTAACTAAAATGAGGATACAATATTTAATATAGGTCGACGACTCCACAAGCCCTACTGGAGACTTTATGTGACCTTCTAAATTAAATAAATATATACTATGTACAAAAAAAATATTAATTTTCTTAAATAGAGAAATAATAAATACAAATAATCAATAAAAACAACTAATATAACAAACAAAAAAAAGTAGGATAGGTCCTTCATTTCCATTTCAAAAATATAAAAAATACAAATAAAACTATGATTAAATGTTCTTTTTTTATTAACCTGGATATCCAACCCGCTATGCGAACCGACTAATCTCAGAACGACCACATGTTTTACAGCTAGTCCGGAGTCACCGTATTTGAACCTCCGTGGTCACAAAAGAATTTTTATTGTTTCTTGGATTTTTATGACCAAAATATGAATCTTTATAAAAATTGGTGGTGTTATTTTAATTATTTTTGATGAATTTAACGTATTGAAAATATAAAATAAAATAAAATAAAATACGATGCTCATTATATTTAACAGAATAGCAATTAATTAATTATATAAAAATCACCCAAAAAAAACACATTTGAATTGGTAGGAGTCATAGGTGTAGTAGGATTAGGTTTTGGATTCGAATAGCAAATTATTGAAGAATAAATGTCTAAATTGCTAGTGACGTGTCAGAGTCAATTAAAAATCCCCAAAATAATTTTCTAAAAAAAAAGGATTTTAAATTAAATCATAAAACTTTCGCTAACCTCACCTCTAAGAAACTGAAATGAAATTTGTAGAACTCGTATGAACCCTAAATATTAGATTATTAATGGCTTTAAGTTAATTTAGAAACTACTAAATCAGATCGTTGCTTCGACATTGAGATGTTACATATACCAACCTCCCAACCCTACGTCTATTACATTTATTGTGTTCACATTTTCTTGATCATGGGTTTGTAAACCAGTTTACGTGCATCAATTAGTACCTCTGGCGACCATGAATGATCTGAAGTCGTTGCAAGTAAACTTTTATGGTCAATATGTAAATTAGCCAAAATATACCAACCATATAAAACCAAATATTTTAAGGACAATAATGTAAAAGTTTAAAAAACATAAAATACAATAAATAAAATTTAAAAAATAAATAAAATGTAAAAATGAAGACATATTTGATGTTTTATAGGTATAAGTTTAAAAAACATAAGAAACAATAAATGATTTTTGCATCACATATACGCAATAATAAGTGAAGAGAAAAATAAAAAAGGAAAAGTCAAAGGGATATAACGGTTAATGATTGACCAGTGCATCTTCCCATTTCATGCATTCTATCTGTCCATCACTTCAAAGTCTCTCCCTTCACACTGTTCTACTCCTACTGCTTTTTCTTCCAAATTCAACAACCCCTCTTTGCAAAAATATGCTTTCTTTCATCTTCTTCCTTCTAATTCTCCCAATCTCATCTCATGGGAATGCAGAACTCGCTGTTCTTATGGATATCAAAGCTTCTTTAGATCCAGAAAACAAGCATCTATCCTCTTGGACGGAAACAGCCGATCCCTGCGGTGGTTCCTTCATCGGCGTCGCCTGTAACCAGTATCTCAAGGTGGCTAACATCTCATTACAAGGCAAAGGTCTCACCGGAAAAGTTCCTCCCGCAATCTCCGGTCTAAAGTGTTTATCTGGTTTATACCTTCATTACAATTTCTTAACAGGAGAAATCCCAAAAGAGATTTCGACCCTCACTGAGTTATCAGAGTTGTATCTTAACGTCAATAATCTCACCGGCATCATACCTCAAGAAATCGGAAACATGGCTAATCTCGAAGGTACGCATATTATAACTTCAAAAAGAAGTTGTTTAAATTTGAATTCTAACTTTATTTCATTTCAAGATTTAGAATTGGGATTCAACCCAAACTCAAAACTTTCTGTGATTTTGAATTGCATTTATTCAATTTGCTTCTTGGTTTGCAGTCATCGAGTTGTGTTGTAACCAGTTGAATGGAAGCATACCTTCAGAGCTTGGAACCTTAAAGAAACTACACGTCTTGGCTCTGCAACACAACCGGTTAACCGGCCAAATCCCGCGAACCCTTGGCGGCTTGGTTATGTTAAAGAGGCTCGATCTCAGCTATAACCAGCTCGACGGTCCGATCCCCATAACCATGGTTAAAGTATCAGGGTTGGAGTTTCTTGATGTCCAGAATAACACCCTTTCAGGATTTGTTCCAACTGGTAATTAAACTGCCAATATTCTTACGGTTTTCGGTTTACATCTTTTCGAGTAGTTGTACATTTTCGATTTGAAATCTTGTAGGTTTGAAGCGATTGAACAACGGATTCAGTTTCAAGAACAATCGAGATCTATGTGGTGCTGCGGCATTTGGTTCGCTAAGACCGTGTACCGAGCTTGATGTAGCCATGATCAACCAACTTGAACCATTTACACCAACACCAAACACCACCATATCGGAAAACATACCCCAATCAGCTAACATTTTGCCTCGTTGCCAACAACCCCACTGCACGAACTCATCGAATCTCCCACGGGTTGGCATCATAGCCGGCATAGTCGCAGTCATCGCGGCTTTAACGATAACAGCATTCATCACGGTATTCATCCACCGAAGGCGAAAGCAGAAAATCTGGAGCAAAACCGAGACTCCTGAACATAGATTTAGCATGCAGGAATCCGCCAAGAAAAGCGGCGATTCCGCTTGCGCATGGGACCCGACACAGAAATCACCCAAAAAATGCGGGTTTTGCATCGAATCCCGATCAATAGAATCACTATCGCTACAGAGCTTCAACTTGGAGGAAATAGAGTCGGCCACCCGTTACTTCTCCGATGCTAATTTGCTGGGGAGGAGCAAGTTTTCAGCCGTTTATAAAGGGGTTTTGAGGGATAGATCGGTTGTGGCTATAAAAAGCGTTAGCGTGACGAGCTGCAAAGCCGACGAAGCCGAGTTTACGAAAGGGCTGAGCATGTTAACCTCTTTAAAACATGAAAATTTGGCTAGGCTTAGAGGGTTTTGTTGTTCAAAAGGAAGAGGTGAATGCTTTTTGGTGTATGATTTTGCATCAAAAGGGAATTTATCAGAATATCTTGATATTGAAGATGGAAGAAGCAGCCATGTTCTTGATTGGCCCAAAAGGGTTACAATCATAAATGGCATAGCCAAAGGTTAGTCTAAGTTTTAAATTAGTATATTGTTTCCATTATCACTGTAAATATTTTAAGAACGTGAGAACCAACTGTCAATATCTCGTTTATAGATTTTCTAAAAAATTCTCAGGTCTCGCGTACCTACACAGAAGCGATATGGAAAAATCTGGCATGGTTCATCGTAACATATCCATGGAAAAGATACTGCTCGACCAACAGTACAACCCGTTGATCACTGATGCCGGCCTTTTGAAGCTTCTAGCCGATGACATTGTGTTCTCGGCGCTCAAGGTCAGTGCGGCTTTAGGCTACATGGCTCCCGAGTATATCACCACCGGCAAATTCACAGAAAAGAGCGATGTTTATGCTTTTGGGGTCGTGGTTCTTCAGATACTATCAGGTAAAAGTAATATCACCGGCTCGATAAGAGCAGCTGCTGCAGATAGTAGGTTTGGTGATTTTATTGACGAAAATCTTGAGGGAAATTTTTCCGAATCGGAAGCAGATAAGTTGGCTAAAATCGGGGCGATCTGTGTCGATGAAGTTCCTGAGAATAGGCTAACAATGGAGGCTGTGATTCTAGAACTAACCAATTCTATTTAGTCCAAAAATTTTAAATTTCTTATCTAATTGAACCTTTTCGTTCTATTGGTTGTAATTATATGATATGAATGATCCATATTACGAAAGTCGAGCGAGGCTTCATACCGAATAAACGCCGGTTATCAATTAGATGTTTCACAAGTGGTACCAAACGAGCTTCTATCAAGTTAACATTCGTTTTATTATCTAAAGGATACAACAGGATCCTCTTATTTTGTTCTAACGTAAAGAGTTCGTAAACAAATTACAACAAAATCGTTTACCAGACAAAGATTCTAGCCAGCGGCTTGATGAGGTTCATGCTCCAAAAACCACTCGGTCGGCCACCATTCAGGCCGGATAGGCTCCACCTTCACGTCTTCTTGTCCTTTGATCACTAAATTTCCTGGCCCTTTAAAAGCTTCCTCGAGCCTGAGGAGTCCAAGCCCACGAGAGCCGAGAGCAGTGGTCACCGTTCCAGCTTTCTTGCCGGATTTTGATGCTATTACTTCTGATCTAGGAGCAACCGTCTGCTCTACCTCTGAGAACAGAAAATAATTGGTTCAAAATTTGACACCCAATAGCCCAAAGCAGTAGGCTGACCCAATACTAAGGGCCTGTTTGTTAGCAGCTTTATGAGCTTGATGAGACTCGCAGCTTATTCGATCAGCTATACGCGATTGTTTGGTAGTGGCTTATTCAGTAAGCTTCTAGGGGATCTTTATGTAGAAGGCCAAATTTTGTTCCAAACTTCCCTTCCAACTAAAAAACACTCCTTCCATCTATGAAAAAGTTATCCCAAACAAAAACCTTCACAATCTATATAGACATATTAATCCACACAGACAGCTTCATCTATACAGGACTTAACGAAAAACCAACCAAACAGCCCTTAGGTCAACATAAAACCATGGTGGAAGTTCTTGAAGGAGTTCACAAATCTACTTTTCTATCCATGTTGGACGGGTTGTTACAAGAACAATTACCACTTATGATAATTCTTGAACTGTGACGTACAAGTAGGCAAATATTGGAAAAAGTTTTGGTGTTTCTACCTTTTCCGGATTCATTTAGGAACTTGAGTGGAAGCAGACGCTTGCGGATAACCCCACGGTGATGGGAGCGAGCGATGAGTTCTTGGCCCACATAACACCCTTTGTCAAAGCTTATGGCGTTTAAACCAGTAAGATTGTACTCGAGTGGGATTGCCTCACCTAAGACCATAAAACATCGATTAATTTTTAAAAATGAATCTCAACATTTGCATTTAGAAGGCTACACAAACTTTGCAAGAAAGACCAAAGGGTCATTTGGCCCAGCAATACCCGAGTTCAAACCTAACCAAAAGTGAGAAGTGTGTGTGTGTGTGAATGAGTGATTATCTGTCGTATATAAATGTTATGTAGTTCCAAATTTGACAGAAAGCAAATGCACCTTTTGGGATCTCAATCGAGCCTTCGGCAACTCCCTTCTCTAATCTCCAGAGAAGGTAATTTTCTTCTTGGGTTTCTGTATCAGCCTCGACCATAGGTGCTGTAACACCCATAAGAAGTTTCAATGAGCTACAAGCCTACAACTCTTGGAATCATAACTAAAACGGTAAAAATATCGACATTACAGGTCAAACTTACAAAAAATTGATCTTTTTGACCTTAATAGTCGAACACTACCTGTCCTCTTCAGGAAGAACGTAAAAGAACTCACGTGTGGCATTGGAGGGGAAAATTCCCCGGAATCCTAGGCAATCGAGTCGAGGATCTTTATGCCATTGCCAGCCAACACTATTTCCCTGTGAAGATGAGCTTCCAGTTGGGTCAATAGTACCACCCCACCCAACAGAAGCAGCTTCAGAATCTTCTACAGATGAAGGTGCTCTCTTATGGAGGTCAACACCATAACGTTGCCAACAAGAGAACTCTTCTCCCACATTCTCGATATCAACCTTCGACCTCAATCTATATCTGTACCAGGATAAAACCAAGAACCTCAAAAAATGGTTTTTTTAATAGAATAACTTCCCTAACCTTGCTGCATTATTGCAATTTTTCCTAAGGACTCGTCAAGGAGACACCTTTTGACATGAAATCAACTGGGATGCTTTCCAATTTTGAAACCATTTTGATTCTAAACTTCAAAGATTGAAAACCTAATGTGATAAGTTAGTAATGGAACACCGAGATCAAAGGGGATATTTCAGAATCTTGAAGCACAACGTGTTGGGAGTAATCAATCACCACTTAGAAGTACGTATATATTGATGTAATAACTTTACAGAAAATTAAAGATTCTTGAACAAAATCTATGAAATGAACATAAACCAACAAAACAATAGTAAGAATCCGTAAACCTTACTTGAAATTGCAGATTCTTTGTGAAAATGGAACAGATTGGGGGCCTGCACTATCGAGTATCCTAATACAAAATTTCGCTGGTGGATATGGCGTTTGTCTCGAGGATAACAATCAATTCAAGTTTCTAACTTGAATCTAGCAAATTAAACGATGTTTGGTGATGAAAAGTATGGAGGAAAACCCAGATGTCGAAGAGAAAAATCGAGAGTGATTTCTGAGTAATGAGGACACACTTTTATACGTTTCTGTCATAACCGAAACAAACAGTCGGGGCTCAAGCGACTTTTCATTCGACCTAACCCGCATGGAAACTCAGGTAGTCGCCGGTAAGTCTCGTGCGACACTGAAATATCACGTAGAAACAGACCCCAATAGGACCTCAAGAGCCCGAGGCCCTATCTTTAACATCTAACATGTATGTTCAAGGACAGCCCACGATGAACACCCACGGAGCCAAACTCTTAAAATGGTTCATTTAATCCTGAAGGTTGGTACTTATTAAGTCAAGTTCCAACATGAAGATGTATAAAAGAATTATGTGTCGATGTATAACTACAATGAATTGAATCTACACCTCATATTAACAGCTTAATTTCGTAAAATAGCCACTGCAACTTACTTCTTTAATGTCTCTACAAGCTCGTCCAATACAGAAGAATCAACATCAGCAAGCAGCACCACCTCATCCTGATCGGATCGACGTC